CTGTTTTCTTCCAAACATTTTGTTACCTGGCTAGGTAACATCTTCAGTTAGGGAAACCCCATTCTATTCTAGCACTGAAGATATTACCTAGCCGGGTAACAAAATGTTTGCAAGAAAACAACCAGGCTCAGAGAACCCCAAGGACTCCACAGTTCATTAACTTCTTTAAAAAATGCCTCTTTAAATTTCTATAAAAGCTTAACTGAGAATAAGTCCCACTGGATATTTATACTATATATGTATTTATTCATGTATGTAATATATTTAGATGAATCTATATCCTGTGTATGTTGCTCTTGTTCTGGTCCTGCCTTCTTTTTCTTGTCTATACCCTTGTCGTGCCACACAAGATAGAATGTGGCCTCAGTTCAAATGCATTTGTCCAACTCTGATGAGTAGGAATGTACTTTTATTAAAGCTGTTTTGCTGGTCGATAACTGAAATAAAGAAACTTGGCTTGTACTGTTAATTTTATTTGTTTTTTCATGTATATATATATTCAACCTTTCTACCAACAAAGGGAGCTCAAGATGGCCAACAAAAGAAAAATAAATATAGCAGCATAATTTAAACCCCATTACAAAAGTAATTAAAGCTATATTTTAAAAAGCTATCAGAACAAAAACATTTATTTTGCTCCCAATTTTATCAGTCAAAATCTGTTTACAAGCCTAAATAAAAGCGCTGGCTGGAAGCAGATGGAAAACTAAAAGTGAATGAATATTTTCTTTGGAAAAAAAAATCCTTCTTAGTCTTTATGGCTGCTAAGAGTATACCAAAAATCCTTCTGAAGGATGAAGCGAATCTATTCCAGTTAAAGGGCCGAATGTCACAGTGAGCTAATTGAAATAGCTGAGTCATCAAATGGGAGAAGGTTCTTAAGAGGCAGATCCAATGAAAACAAGAAGTATTCTAAATGGAACTTCAGTTATGAAATTCAGTCAGAAAAAGGAAGCACATTCAATATTAGAATGTGGGTAGCTGGAGGTACTCCATGAATATTATATTATAAATATGATAATTTGGGCTGAGATGTATATGCTTTCTGTTGTAAAAGGCTAGATACTGTCAATACAATCTTATGCATTTCTATTCAGAAGTAAGTCCAATTTAGCTGAATGGGACTTGTTGTAAGAGTTGTTTCAGATAGTGGTAAGACTGTCTGCCAAACATTTTTGCAGGTCCAGGCTAGGCCCCCCTCCCCAGAGACAGATTTCTGCAGTGCGTGAGAAAGTAAGCAAGATTTTAGATGTTCGAATAGTAGTTATATAGATTCTCATTTGAAAGGAAAAGTTACACATCAGAATTCCTCTGTTACTTTGGATTTCTTTGTTAATAAATATCACTAATCTTTGACCATTTGCCTCCAACCAACTTTGCTGAAATACTGTAGACATTTGACATTTATTTTAGTTAAAGGTGCATAGGACTGTAGCCTGAGCTATTGAATTCTACTTTGATAGGCAAAAATGCTTTCAGGAAGTGATAAGAGAAAATAGATTGATCCTGGAAAATACATTAGATAGCAGAATGGAAATACCATGAACAAAGAAACTGTGTAACAAGTCAGGAATTGTTTGGAATTTTGAATGTGATGGGATTTTTCACAAAATGGCTGCCAAGGGAGTGGGGGGGGGAGCCCTGACCATTCACAAAATGCCTGCCTGTCCAAATCTAATTTGAATAGTAAAATGTATTAGAAACAAAGCCACAGCTGTATGCAAAAGTACAGCCTTTAATTCCTCTTTGGATTGTGAGGGTTTAAGTAAATATATCAGCTCAGAGGAAACAATCAATAGATTTGGGTTGGTTGGTTCAGGCTTCTTTGGATTTCTGAAAAGAAACTCAATATTACCGTTATTGGATTATTTTTGCTGGGAAAAAATGACCTCAATATGTTACAATGATTCCCCCCCCGAAACACACACAAAAGTATCCCACACACCAGAAAACCATCAGTGATCAATTGCTGTAATTCGGAGATACTGTTTACTATAGTCTTCTGGTAGGACTGTTTTGTAACTCTACTTCTCTATTAATTCTGCAATAAAACGTGCATATCGCTTAGAATTTACCCCATATGATTTCAATTAAACAGATACAGCAAAGTCTGTTACATTCTATTTAAAAAGGTATTATAAGTATGGAATACAGGAATGCTAATTATAAAACATAAAGAATACTCATGGGGCAAATTAATTCAGGAGCAAGCTTTGGAACTAGAAAGTATAAAAAGAACTGACCTACGTTCTATAAATGGTCATTTCTAGATTAGAATGTCAGCCATTAAATCATTTTTAAAAATCAGCAAAACTACTATATTCACAAGTTGATTATAAGTTGATAAGTGGTAATTTGGGGAGCTTCTGGTGAGGATTCA